CTCAGTTGCCAAGTTCCTGACTTTTTAACAGGAACACTGTGACAGTCATAAATGTTAAGATCAGTCATAGGTTACTTTTTACAGCACTGTCAATGATTTTTAAACAGTCATTAAAAAAAATAGTTGTAAGTCAAAGATTACCTATATTATAAATCAGAAATTTACCCACGGATTTCTATTTTTAAAATTATTTTACTGACTCTTGTGAGGTTTTAAGATTAACAGTAGCCAGGAGGAAAAAAAGATTTATTTTCTCAATTTAGTAAATATTATGCAAAACTACACAAATACAAGTATTTGCTTTCACTTTTCTGCTCTTCATACATTACTTACAATTATTTATTCCATTTTCCCTGTCAAACACAATAAGCTTTACCGTTAATTTAAATTTAAAATTAAATTAAATATAAATTAGCTTAAATTAATTTAAATTCATTTTCATAATATATTCCTCACTGCATTATACCATTTAGATAATATTCCTGGCAATTCATTATGTTTGCAGCTGACAATATGAAGTCGTCTCCAAGTTCATGTACATCTATGTCCCCAATTGACACATTTATCCATAAACACATTAAACTATTAAAATCTCACCATAGAACTTTGCTTTATTTTCTATTCAGTGATAACATGTTTGCTAAGTATTCTATTTATTCTCATGCATTCTTTGCTAGCAGTATTATCATATTCAGATTCCATTCTACTTCCTATTTTGCAAAATATTCCATGTTTTTAAGCTGATTTATCATATGCTTCCTCTAAATCAGTAAGTATTAAAGGCAAAAAGAGAAGGAAATGGCAGAGGGCGAGATGGTTAAATAGTGTCATTGACACAATGAACATGATTTTGGGCAAACTCCAGGAGAAGGACAAGTGGTCTGTCATTGTATAGTTTATGGAGAGACAAAGAATGATGACTGAACAACAAAATCAATAAGTATGTACTGAGCTTTTTTAAAAACATACATTTATTTTTCAGCTGCGTTACGAAGAACGAAATTGTGATCTGCACACCCATTCTCTGGCATGTTACTGGATTTCATGGCCTCACTACACTCCCCCAAATTTAGCTCATTACCTTTTGGTACTCTTTTGATCAAAATTCTGGAAAAAAAAAACCACCCTTCTTAAACTAATCCCCTTGTATTTGCTATAAGGGAATAATGCATAAGTGAATAATAACTTTGTATAGGGGGAATAATAACAGTTCACTTAATCTACAGAGTAAGTAGAAGTTGAAATCTATACCCAAAGATATCAACATGGATTGATCTGAGCATGCACTAGGAGCTTTTTTGGCTCCCGTACCAAAAGCTGGAGGAGCGCAGGGGGGGTCGTGCACAGGCGTGCCACACTCATGCTATGTGTGCGACTCCCCTCCCTGTGCATGCATGTGTGCGCGACCAGCACCCCCCACTTTTGGCATGATTTTTTTGCCCTCCCCAGGTTCCAGAGGCTTTCTAGGAGCCTGAGGAGGGCAAAAACAGCTCCCCCCAACGCCCTCAGGAGCTCCCCTGAAGGCTCTGGAGGGCAAAAAAACGGACGTATGGGGAAGTTTGGGAATGGTGACTTCTGGTTTGTCCATAGGGCTGATTTTCGCCCTCCGGAGCCTTCAGGAAAGCTTTCAGAAGGTTCCGGAGGGTTAAAAACGGTCCTATGAGCAAACGTTCCTATGCATTTGCCCGTAGAGCTGGTTCTTTGCGCTCTAGAGGCTTCAAGGAAGCCTTTGGAGGACAAAAAATGGCCTCAAAAGAAGGCCAAAGTCAGCTGGCCAGCACGTGCATGCGCACTGGCCAGCTGACAGGGCAACGTCTTGCATGCCCCGGTAAATGCTCCGCGTGCCACCTGTGGCATGCTTGCCATAGGTTCGCCATCACGGCACTAAGACCTATGTATCAAAGATGTTGATCTCTCAAGTTACTATCTTCAGAATTATTTTAGTTAAGAATTTGTGTTAAATATAATCCCTCTTCTGATCACACAAAGCAACTTGAAAGTGTGTACCTGGGTTAACTTCAACTTAGTTTCCCATGTATTGATCCTATCCTCAAATGGCTTTTTAAAAGGCGAGAAGGACATGCTTTGTGTCATAACAATATGATCATCAAGAAGCTGAGAAGCTTCATCAGGACTCTTCAGAATAAATGTTTCAGTTTCTTTGTAGGGAACTACATTGAAGAGAATAGATTCCCATTCATGCTCCATTTTATCCAAAGCCTAGGAAATGTGAAAAAATATTATTAACATCATTGAACATAGCTCACTTTAAAAATGGCAACTGGACAAAAGTTAACAGAGTGCAATGGCATTGATAGTAGGCTGAGCTTTACTAAGCAGAAAAGAAGGAAAGAAAGAAAATAGGAATTATTGTTTTCTACCTAAACTTTTTAATTCTTAGAAAACTTAATGAATGACATGCAAATATATAAGATTTCCAGTGAATTTCATCCTAGTTTAAGTCATCCAGCATTCTTTATACCTTATGTTAATTTAAGAAATGATACTTTCTTCTCAGAGAGACTGCCAATGTTTTTTACCAATATATTGTATTAGAAAATTAAAATTCTCTGAACAAGAAGTAAGAAGAAAACAATTCAGCTATTAAATAGCATATTGGAACACAAAGGAAGGCTACAGGGAAAAAGAAATTGAATGGCATCCTCACATTCTCAATTGAGTATTCCTTTCCTGCAATTTCAGCAATTTTGGCTATATTCTCAATGTGATCCTGGAGCTTCATCTCCAGGCAGCGGGCAAATGTCAAGTTGGCTTTGGGCTTCACGTTGATTTTTATCTCCTCTGAAAGCATGTCCCAGTGGCGATTGCGCATGCCAGGATTGCGCAGCCCTTGAATCAGTGGTATGTAAGGCCTGAATTCCTCAATTTTGCCACGGATTTCCACAGCCACATCCTGGCATGCTTTTCATAAGACAGAAAAAATAACCATCAAAAGACACCAGGATAGAGTAAATCACAGCATTGTTTACAGAAAAAAGCAATCAGGAAAAGATCACTGACAAATGCAGCATTACATTAACTGAAGGAAAATCTTCAGTTTCTCCTAGCAGGCGTTATTTCTTTGTATATCTGATTAAAGATTATTTTTCCAATAGATGTTTTCTTTTAAGTTATAATTGTGAGAAAGGCAGTGCTGGGGCAATATTTTAAAATTGTTTTGAATAGTCTGCTGCATAGCCTCTGGTTGCTCTTGCAGTAGAAAAGTAATAAGCTAGCAGTGCTTTCATGAGACAAGATTCTTTCAGTACAGGAAATAATTTTTTTTTACTTCGTTATACAATTGTATTTTTAATCCTCCTGTTTACATATATATTCCTTCATGTTATTTTTTGGCTAAACCGATTCCCTGCATTTCAAATAGAATACATTGCTTAAAACAGAACACAAGTTAAAAGGCAACCACCCCCCTCACAATCCTCCAGTGCAGAATATATTACAATTGAAACATAAAGCTACTGTCAAGATCATTTCAGAAAAAGTTTATAATTCTGATATATTTGTATAATTTCTGAAAGGGTGCAGAGGGAAGCATTTTCTAAGTATTTTTTACATCCATTATTTTTTCTGAATTTTCTGAAACTCGCTTTCCATTGAGCAGGCCCACAATGTGGTTGTATTACAACAGGTAAAAATAGACAAACAAACAGTTTCTAAAGAAGTCCAGATTTTAGTTTCATCCCTCATCAAAAAAATACATAATTGGTTCAAGGCAGAGGTGGGTTGCTAACCAGTTTACTACTGGTTTGCTCGTGCTCGCACATGAGCTCACACAAGCGCAGAAGCATTTGGGTGGGTGGGTGGAGCCTCCCACTGCCACCGCTACTGGTTTGGCTGGCAGCAACCCACCTCTGGTTCAAGGCCTAGAACTTACCTGGAATATCCTTGAAATGTTTTACGCATTTATGCATTGTTTTAAAGGACTCGTTGACATTCTTCTCCAACTGCTCTGCATCAATGGCAGATAGAGGATCATTCATCCAGCTGTCTGCCCAACGAAGCCAGTCTGATGCTGTGCTCCAAAGATCATAGAAGGGCTGAAAGTCTTTAACCATCCTGGACAACTTATCATACTGAGGGAAGCAAAAACAAGAAAGAAAGAATTTTGTTTGTTGAAAGTATCTTCTAAACCAGGGGTGTCAAACTAGATTTCATTGAGGGCTGCATCAGGGTTGTGTTTGACCTGGGTGGGCAGGGTATGTGTGGCCAGGGGGGGGGCATGTGGCCCTCCCAAGCTCTGTTTTCACTGGCAGAGCGCTGCAGGGGGATGTCACAGCTGAAAGCTACCCTGGGAGGCCTGTGTGTGGCCCTCCCGAGCTCTGTTTTCACTAGCAGAGGCACCATTGGCCGGTCCTTCACTGTTTCCAGGGCAGGCCCATGGACCAGATCTAAGCACCCTGTAGGGTGGATTCGGCCCACAGACTTTGAGTTCGACACCCCTGTTCGAAACAAAGTCAACAGGCAGTCATGCTGTGTATTTATTTGCTCCTCCTATGCTAGTATAAATAAAGATGGAAGGAGCCCTAAAGCCATTTTGACAGTTCTTTTTTAAAAAAAATATCTTGAGAGGAACTCTACTCTCAACAAAGCAGATGATCACAAGTCTCTTATGGGCTGGCATTAATATTTTACCCTCTTTAGAATCAGTATACGATGGAACACCAAACTAATTACTTTTGACCATATCCTAAAAGAGAAAACATTGAGAAATCTAATAAGGAAACAATGTTAGGTTTCATTTGCACAGCCTCCAATCCGCCATTTAAAGCCATCTTACTAAGCACAGGTGATCCTCAACTTACAACCATTCATTTAGCACTGTTCAATGTTACAATGGCACTGAGAAAATGTTGCAATCTATGACCAGTCCTCACATTTACAACCACTGCAGCATCCCCACGGTTATGTGATCAAAATTCACGCACTTGGCAACTGGCATGTATTTCCAATAGTTGCAGCATCCCATGGTCATATGATTGCTATCTATGACCTCTTCAGGGGACTTCAAACAAGCAAAGTCAACAGGAGAAGTGAGAATTGTTTAAAGAACACACAATTCACTAAACAAACATAGTGATTTGCTTAACAGCCATGACAAAAACAGTAATAAATTAAGTTGTGACTCACTTTACAACTGCTTGTTTAGCAGTAGAATTTCTGGTCCCAGTAAGTTGAGAATTACCTGTGTTCTTTAAACCTATGTGCTCATGATGTTGCCTTGCCTCACAGTTAGAGCTGAAACCACCCAATTTTTGTATCTAATTGATGGGTGTTAAAGTGGCCTATTTCATCCTCTCTTGGTACAAGATTAAGGAACTGGGATCTACCAGTATCTCCTGGCCACTTTCAGAAACGGCATAGATAGTCCACTTTTCAGCCCTAGCAACTGCTTGTGGGGTTTAGTTTTCCAAAGAGAATGGAAGATGAAGATTTCATATTTTCTCATTTATTGAATGATTCTGTCAAGAGTTTGCTATTTCTAGTCTGCACATATAGATTACATAATGGAGTAAATCGTCCCAGATATGTTCCCTGTGAAGAGTGAAGAATGTTCCCACTTCTGATAGCTAATCTGGTCGAAGTAGTGAAAGAGAGGATGAAATACAGGGCAAAGGCTGGGGAGCAGGGGTCAGGAGAAGTGGGGAGTCCACCAGCCAGTACTGGTCAACAACCTCCTGTCCTTTTGTTTTTACACAGAGCTAGAGAGACAGAAAGGCTAAGTGAGGCAGAAAGACAGAGGAAAACATAAAAAGAGAACAAGAATTTCATGTGGGAATCTGAGGATCATCTGCAGTATAGGTGACTTCAATGTAAAATAAGAGTCCGATCCTGACAAACAATGAAACTCTATAGATCCTCAGCATCAGATTCTGCCAGAAGATTAAATTAGTGGATATAGTCATCAGTCAAAATATGCCTCTTGTTCCAGCCACATCCCTTGCCAAGGACAACAGTTAGTGATGGTTTTGTTTTTTTTGCTATAGGAAATTTACCAATTGCTCTTTTTAATTTGTTCCCCATTATAGCTAATGTGGTAAAAATGGTGCCATTGGTTGGCCTCATTATTGGGATAGAACAGTGCTTTGTCTGATGGTTCAGAGCAGATTGTGTTAATTTTTGTGTCAGCTCATAAACTAAAGGAAGCATATTAAAGCAGCTGTCTGGATAGTCCTGTAGGGGATATCAATCAGGAATTTACTTGCTCACATTTTATATTATATTAACCATATTTTTCAGCCAAATTATATTAATGTTTAATCTGAACTTTTCTAGATGGGGTTTCAGACCTGGATATAATACTGAGATGGCATTGATTGCACTTGTGGAAATCCTGTGGCGGAACCAGGATTGGCTAGTGCATGATTGCCATGAGGTCTTAAGCGCCATCAAGATCATTGATTATGGTTTACTTTGGATTGGCTCAAAGGGTTAGGAATGGGGGACATAGTATTACACTGTTTCTCCCTCTTCTCTCCATGGCTGGTTCCAGCTGAAGATGAGAGATCTAGCCTTAGACCCTTCTTTTGTAGAGTATCTCAAGGTTCTCCCTACTCTTATATACCATCTATGTGGATCTCTTGCATGAAGTCATCTGTTGGCATCTAGACCAATTAAGTGATGTTGCCTTAATAGCCATAAACTGTGGAAATCTGGATGAAGACAATTTCAGACTGAACCCTAGTTAAGCCTAGTAACCATGAACTTTGGGCATACCAGAACATCTCAGCAGCAGTTTTGGATGGGATTTCAATTTCACAGACTGAAATGTTGTGCAATATGGAGGTCTTCCTAGACTCTTGAGTCCTGCATAAAGAATTGGCAGCAAACATGGCCAGGAGACCTTTTACAGACATTGTACACCAACTGCACCAATTTCTGGATACCACAATCACTCATGTTTTAGTTAGCTTGCAGTTGGGCTGCAGCAATGCACCCAACATGAGGCTATTTATGGAGATAATTGAAAAGTTACAGCTAGTCCAGAATTGAGCAAAGCTGTGAAAGTAGTTATTTACACACCATAGTACACCTATTAACATCACTATATGAGATATACTGGTTACCAATCAATTTCTGAGTACAATACAAATTGCTAATGGCTACCCATAAAGCCCTTCACAATACAGGGCCTAGATATCTGAAGGACTGTTTTTAATCTCTGCTTGTCCAACCAGACCTGATAGGTTTGGCATGCTCTAGTCCCATCAGTCAAGTGTTGGCTTTCAGGGGGCGTGCCTTTTCTCTTGCAGCATCTACCTATAGAATAATGTTCCCTGAAATTCAGATTGACCTGATCCTGCTGCCCTATAGAAAAGCTTTGAAGACTTTGTTCCTCTGGGGATTGGACCAGGAAATTACATGAGCCTATTCTGAATGCAAATTCTGTTGGGCACTCTTTCAAATAATTTCTGCTGTATTTTTAATTCTCAGTTTTCATTGATTTGTTGATTGATTGATTCATTCATTCATGGATACCAATATGAATGCAAATATCTGTCTTTCCTCCTGCTAGGCACTTATTTCACCTGACTTTTGTAATTTCTTAAATTGGTTAAAAATAGGAAATTGGGAAGTGGTTATAAAATATGGGGTTCATATTTTGTTGGGAAAAATAAGGGGCAAATCTGAAAAGGGGGTAAATCTGAGAGGTTTATAACAATAAATAATTCTTTACACTTATAAATTTGCTTTACAAAGGAAAAAGTTAAGAGTAGAGAAAAACTTTACAAAAATGTATATTCTAATAAAATAAAAGCAAACAGTATATGTATATTTACTTTTAAAGAGACAATTCAATTATATATTTTTCACATGAATATTGGTACTATTTGTATGGTAAAAGTTAAATGAATAAACAAAAGGTAAAAGTAAATTTTTGAAAAACAAATAACTCTACAAGACAGCTTTTTCCAAATTTATAATAAAAATGTATGGTCACAGTAATATAAACTACCTATGTAAGAGTTGAAATGAAATAAATGTAATATCATAATAACTAAAAAGAAATATATTTTACATATATAATGTATTACAATAAACATATTGCAGACTATATGTGAGAGAGGGACTGTAGAAAAAAAGTTAGGATCAAAGTTACATAGGAATTAATTATAAGAAATGAGTTTAGACCCTTTGGGCATCAAATGTATAAGTATGACATTGCCAACTTCTTTCTACAAATGTTGATATTATTTCACATAGGAATAGAAAGGCACAAAATGTAAACAACATATGCTTGTGATAAAATTTAATATAAAGTTTTTTATTCCATGTTGCCCGAATGGTAGATAAAACATTCAGCCAGTTTAAAAAAAGAAGAATGCTAGTTTACTATTTTTAACCAGGTCCCTTTGCTTATTAGACTTTAATCATAAAACCTGTAGCTGAATTTCTCTAGACTTTGGTTAATAACTAATTTTTATACAATATATGCAGTAAAAGGGGTCCCTGGACATAGTCCTCCAGCATTAATCAGTTTGGAGCAGAGGTTTATTTAAACCCCCAAAAAGGGCTCTTTCCAGTTTAATGCAACTGGATGAGTCTGAATAACGGCTGATCACTGGAAGCTGTGGAGATTAAATGAAGCTGAAGAGAAAAAGCTGGCTTTCTCTGCCACTCTACTCCCCAGCACAACCACATATGTGTGCACACACACACAGAGTAACTCTCAGCTGTTATGTAGGGTGCATATGTTCAAAAGCTGCCCTAACAGCTTCTGCTAGGGCGGAGAGGGGAGAAGGAGAGATGGTGGTGGAGCGTTCCCTGGTGAAGCAGCAGAGACATTATAACCTTCCTATAACTGTCATTTCAGACTCTAACTGTCAGCTATTCAGACTGGTCAGTCTCTGAGTGAGGGACTGGGTCAGAGATCTGGTGGCTAAACAGCCTTCTCTCCCCTTCACTTGCTACCTCTCCCAGCCTCAGCAGCTGGTCCTTAAACTGGGAGAAGTGGCAAGTGAATAATAGGATAAATTCTGACAGATGGCTTAAACCTTCAGGTGATGTGATTGGCACATGATTTTCCCACTGACTAGTGATGCTGACAATATGGGGGAAGAGCAGTGTTCCCAACACATGAATTGAGGAGACATTTTCTAGCTCATAGACAGAACAGAAGCAACTGGAATGGGCACCGGAGACAGTAAAATATACGCCTGTTTAGTTTTCTGCTGCTCACAGACAGGAGAAAAATATTTGTTAGATCACAGGGAAGAATTTTAAACCAAGCTGCTCAAAAAATACAGACAGCAATGTGGTGAAGTTGTAATGAGATACTGGTGATGAGCTAGTGGGAAGCTTTTGTTCACAAAGGAATATAAAGCATGATGAACGGACAAAAATGCTGGACACTCACATTAGTTACATGCATGCCGAAAATACGCTCCCGATTATTGTAAAGCAATGCCAACTGCTGGGACTCTTTCAATTGCTTCCTGATTCTTCTGGCTTCATTGGCTATCTCATGGGCCCGACCAATATCCATGTGTGCAGAAAATCCAGCCACTGCAATCTGGGAAAGAAAGCAGATGTAATATATAGGAAGAGAGAATCCTTCAGTCAGACAAATATGTTGACTGGAAAATAGGTCTATGAATTTCTTCCAACATTTCAATTGTGTAGTTGCCTTTTGGTTACAAGTTCAATGCATTTCTGAGATGAGATTAGCAACCAGTCTTGGAATAGCATATTAGGGTTGCATTTTTNATGGATGGAAGGAAGGAAGGAAGGAAGGAAGGAAGGAAGGAAGGAAGGAAGGAAGGAAGGAAGGAAAATACTCCCTAGAGGATATTTGCTGTTTATTCAGATTCATACAATTCTGTTTTTCACAAACTGCCTAAGACCTGGTTTTTCTCCCTGGACCTGAGTTAGGATGGAGTCAACCTTTGGGGTTGCTTATTGGCTTTTGGAATTTTGTTTCTGGTTCAACAATCTTCCTTGCATTTTCTTGGCATTTTTGTATTTTAATTTTTATCTGTAAGATGCCCAGAATTCCCGTGGGGTCGATAGCTTTGACATTGAAATAATAAATAAATACATTTATTAAACCACTTTGACCATAGTTAAAGGCCACCGCAATGCATAAAATTAGAACTTGGATTATATGTACATGGAAGCATAGATAGATATTTATATCAAGGGACTTGGTTTTGAGAAAGGTAAAGTATCTTTAATCTTTAGAAGACTTAGGAGAAAATGGCTCATATATACTTTTTAATATTAAAGACAGCAAACAGTGACAATCTTCTGTCAAAGAAATGGTTTCTAATTTTAAGATACTCTGTTCTCACCCTTCTTATAGAGCATATTCAGCACATAAGGAACGAAGAAGACATAGACTTCTGTTATATGAATAGAAGTCTACTCGTGTCAAGTTGGATTTAAATATACATTAGGACATCCAAAGAGATCTTATCCCTTACTGCATGCAAAATATAAATTTTGGAGGGAAATTTGCAGCTCTCAATATAAAATATACACTTACATCTCAAGAAGAGTATGGTATTTGCTCTAGATCTGGCTTATTCATGAGTAAAAAAAAACTAGAAAAAAATGATCAAAATGATGGCTGTACAGTATAGCCAGCAGTTTAATAGTTTATAAATTCTATATCTACTGAACCAGAGTTACAAAGACTTCACCAATCATCTCATATATTAGTGAACCTCCTTTCCAAAACAGTCTAAAAGACTGTAAAGGAAAGGAACCATTTATTGCTGTATGAAGTATGTCTACTTCATACATAACATGCAAGGAAAAACATTGACTTACAGCATTTAAATAAAATAACATTGACTTACAGGAGTGTTAAACTCGTGGTCAATGGGCTGCATGAGTCATGCACTGGCCATGACTAATCCCATTTTAGCAAAGGGGGAAAAAGTTGTGATATATCATGTGATGACAATGTGTCATCATAGGTTTGACACCCCTGACTTACAGCATTTAAACAACGTAACCGGAAATCCAAACATTCATGATACAAAGGCATAGAAAATAAAAATTACAAAATAAAAAGGTGAAACCAGTCCATTTTATATGTGTGCCAAATTCCAAATTTCTTAACCTATTATTGCAGCAAATTAGCTTTCAATAACCTCAGTACCTTCAACAACTGACAATTTATATCAACACTAGTCATTTTAAAGAAGGGACTTTCTCTTATTTGTACTTTCACTGTTTAAATCCTAATGTGAAAAGTAGGATATGTTACATTCTTCAAAAATAAAAATACAAAACTTTTTAAAACAACCATTTTAAACAAGAACAGGCCTAGTGATAAGCAAAAGGACCTTGGGGTGGGGGGGTGGGGAAACAAATTGGTTGCCCATTTTCACTTTTAAACATTTTATGTAGTGACCGTACACTGCAATGTTCTTCAGAAAAAAAACATGGCATTAACCACCTTATGACATAATAAAGCATCAAGAAAGTGGTGGATATTATATTGGTTGATGTAATAACTAAAGTATTGCTAAAATACCAAAGCATATTGATTTTCCTGCACTCTATTATTCTTGCGGGAAGAGTCATTATTCTTTTTTATATTATGCAGTACAAGAAGGAACAAATTTAAGTGAGACACTAAGCATTAAAATGTGTTTCAAAAATAATAACTATATCATGAAGCCCTTTTAATTTTGGAGCTACTGCCCAAATTGTTCTAAAGTGAAAAATAAAAATCATGGAAAATAATAAACAAACGAGATGCCCTTTCTGAAGTTAATTAGAAGGCCTCTTTAGACCTCCATTAACCAGAGTATAACCATGCCCTGGCAAAACTTGTTTTCTGAAATGTCCTCATGATATTGGTTTCATCTCATCCTCATCTCAGCGCAGGAGTAAGACAGGCTTAAGTGGTCCTTAGCGCTCTGGTGTTAAACTGTTTTTTTCCTCTTAAGCTGAAAATGCATCCAAAGACAATGACAAGGTTTGTAAAATTGCTAGCCATTATGTCAGAGGAAATGTCAATTGACTAGTAACTTGTGGGACCAGAGAGGCTTTTTTAAGTTGATGCCGGCTTCCCCTTTTCTCCCTGGTCAATTAATCCACAAATTGCTTTGCCTGTTATGCCCTATGCCTACATAATCAAAGCAGTACCATATAGCGGGAACTTAGAACATGCATTCATAGTTGCAGCATAGGGTTTGTTAATAGGGACAGAAAAAAATACTGGTATATTTTTCTGTTAACTCAAGAAATAGAGGATAGTACTTTTATCAGCAGAGAAAGATCTTAAGATAAGACCTTCCTTGAGAAATCATTAAATCGTTAAAATGGGCATCAATATAAAGTTTTCAGCATTTGTGCATATGTGCCTGAAGTAACAAGGTCAAGTGTATTATAAATTTTAAATGTATGAGTGGCAGCACAGCGCTGAACTGTTTCTTAATATTTATTATACTTGTAAAGTCCAGAATAGCTGGATTCTTGGAATCCTTCTGATGATGGGGAAATGCTGCGGTATCTTTCAACGTTTTCCTCATCCAGTAATAATGACTGTTCCTTGAACACAGGGCAACCAAGGTTTTTATGGAAAAGTCAGCCAATTAATTTTAGTTATTATAAACCCACTGAGTTGGTTATTCCACAAAAATAATATCTGGGCTAAAGAAGGAAGAGTTAGGTTCTAAGAGAATCTCATCTAGTTCACATTCCGTTAATGTCCATCCGATACAATGGCACTGATGCTCTATGACCAGCTGAAGTAATTACTTGCTGAATGACCCTGAGATTATTCACTAACTTTAACCAAAAGGACACCCCTTTTTGAAGTGCGTTGGCTTAGTCAGGTTCAAAGTCCCACTTTCTTGATGCCTGATTAAATATGCTCTAAGGTCTTCGAGTCTCACTGGTACTGGCAAGCGTACAATATTCCTCTGAGTCAGGCTGAGGGTTACAAAATTACAGTTCTCTCTCCTCTTCAGATTTTGTGGGCAGACAGGTGTGTAATTAAGTGTCTTCTTCAAAGCAGACAGCCCTGAGACTACAGTGGATGGTCAAGAAGTCATTGGGGGTGGGGGGGAGAATAACAACAGTGTGCTAAAACTTTCTGAAATTGAAGAAAAGGGCATCATAATCCCAAACATTCATTTTCCTGCAATCCCAGGATAACAAGACTTGCAAGTTAACCTTTGTGCCTCTTAGGCAGCAGATAAGGCAGCAGATCTTCCTGGGAGCATTATTTTCGTAATTGACAAAGATGATATTGTCTGTGTCCAAAGGGTTGCACTGGCATTCTAGCATTCCTTTTTTGTAGCGCTATACTAAGATTTTTCCAGCAAAATAGAAAAGTGCTTCTCTGTGGGAAAGTTTTTATCTCTTGGTAAAAATCTTTGCAACCCACATCATATGGAAAATCAATCTGTCTGGTAAAAGGATTTTTTTAAAATGTGCAAAACCACGCTTGAAGCATACATGATCACATTATAAGTGCAAACATGTCACCTGGTTTGTTCAGACCTTGTGTTTCACCTCTGTGCCATTCTGCAATATTCTGCAGAGTTTGAGTCAAACATGTAATGATGGCTAATGACCATAAATAGAGTAAAAATATTAAAATAAAGACTGTATATGGCAATTAGGTGACCCTGGGATATTGCAACCATCATAAATACAGCTCAGTTGCCAAGTTCCTGACTTTTTAACAGGAACACTGTGACAGTCATAAATGTTAAGATCAGTCATAGGTTACTTTTTACAGCACTGTCAATGATTTTTAAACAGTCATTAAAAAAATAGTTGTAAGTCAAAGATTACCTATATTATAAATCAGAAATTTACCCACGGATTTCTATTTTTAAAATTATTTTACTGACTCTTGTGAGGTTTTAAGATTAACAGTAGCCAGGAGGAAAAAAAGATTTATTTTCTCAATTTAGTAAATATTATGCAAAACTACACAAATACAAGTATTTGCTTTCACTTTTCTGCTCTTCATACATTACTTACAATTATTTATTCCATTTTCCCTGTCAAACACAATAAGCTTTACCGTTAATTTAAATTTAAAATTAAATTAAATATAAATTAGCTTAAATTAATTTAAATTCATTTTCATAATATATTCCTCACTGCATTATACCATTTAGATAATATTCCTGGCAATTCATTATGTTTGCAGCTGACAATATGAAGTCGTCTCCAAGTTCATGTACATCTATGTCCCCAATTGACACATTTATCCATAAACACATTAAACTATTAAAATCTCACCATAGAACTTTGCTTTATTTTCTATTCAGTGATAACATGTTTGCTAAGTATTCTATTTATTCTCATGCATTCTTTGCTAGCAGTATTATCATATTCAGATTCCATTCTACTTCCTATTTTGCAAAATATTCCATGTTTTTAAGCTGATTTATCATATGCTTCCTCTAAATCAGTAAGTATTAAAGGCAAAAAGAGAAGGAAATGGCAGAGGGCGAGATGGTTAAATAGTGTCATTGACACAATGAACATGATTTTGGGCAAACTCCAGGAGAAGGACAAGTGGTCTGTCATTGTATAGTTTATGGAGAGACAAAGAATGATGACTGAACAACAAAATCAATAAGTATGTACTGAGCTTTTTTAAAAACATACATTTATTTTTCAGCTGCGTTACGAAGAACGAAATTGTGATCTGCACACCCATTCTCTGGCATGTTACTGGATTTCATGGCCTCACTACACTCCCCCAAATTTAGCTCATTACCTTTTGGTACTCTTTTGATCAAAATTCTGGAAAAAAAAAACCACCCTTCTTAAACTAATCCCCTTGTATTTGCTATAAGGGAATAATGCATAAGTGAATAATAACTTTGTATAGGGGGAATAATAACAGTTCACTTAATCTACAGAGTAAGTAGAAGTTGAAATCTATACCCAAAGATATCAACATGGATTGATCTGAGCATGCACTAGGAGCTTTTTTGGCTCCCGTACCAAAAGCTGGAGGAGCGCAGGGGGGGTCGTGCACAGGCGTGCCACACTCATGCTATGTGTGCGACTCCCCTCCCTGTGCATGCATGTGTGCGCGACCAGCACCCCCCACTTTTGGCATGATTTTTTTGCCCTCCCCAGGTTCCAGAGGCTTTCTAGGAGCCTGAGGAGGGCAAAAACAGCTCCCCCCAACGCCCTCAGGAGCTCCCCTGAAGGCTCTGGAGGGCAAAAAAACGGACGTATGGGGAAGTTTGGGAATGGTGACTTCTGGTTTGTCCATAGGGCTGATTTTCGCCCTCCGGAGCCTTCAGGAAAGCTTTCAGAAGGTTCCGGAGGGTTAAAAACGGTCCTATGAGCAAACGTTCCTATGCATTTGCCCGTAGAGCTGGTTCTTTGCGCTCTAGAGGCTTCAAGGAAGCCTTTGGAGGACAAAAAATGGCCTCAAAAGAAGGCCAAAGTCAGCTGGCCAGCACGTGCATGCGCACTGGCCAGCTGACAGGGCAACGTCTTGCATGCCCCGGTAAATGCTCCGCGTGCCACCTGTGGCATGCTTGCCATAGGTTCGCCATCACGGCACTAAGACCTATGTATCAAAGATGTTGATCTCTCAAGTTACTATCTTCAGAATTATTTTAGTTAAGAATTTGTGTTAAATATAATCCCTCTTCTGATCACACAAAGCAACTTGAAAGTGTGTACCTGGGTTAACTTCAACTTAGTTTCCCATGTATTGATCCTATCCTCAAATGGCTTTTTAAAAGGCGAGAAGGACATGCTTTGTGTCATAACAATATGATCATCAAGAAGCTGAGAAGCTTCATCAGGACTCTTCAGAATAAATGTTTCAGTTTCTTTGTAGGGAACTACATTGAAGAGAATAGATTCCCATTCATGCTCCATTTTATCCAAAGCCTAGGAAATGTGAAAAAATATTATTAACATCATTGAACATAGCTCACTTTAAAAATGGCAACTGGACAAAAGTTAACAGAGTGCAATGGCATTGATAGTAGGCTGAGCTTTACTAAGCAGAAAAGAAGGAAAGAAAGAAAATAGGAATTATTGTTTTCTACCTAAACTTTTTAATTCTTAGAAAACTTAATGAATGACATGCAAATATATAAGATTTCCAGTGAATTTCATCCTAGTTTAAGTCATCCAGCATTCTTTATACCTTATGTTAATTTAAGAAATGATACTTTCTTCTCAGAGAGACTGCCAATGTTTTTTACCAATATATTGTATTAGAAAATTAAAATTCTCTGAACAAGAAGTAAGAAGAAAACAATTCAGCTATTAAATAGCATATTGGAACACAAAGGAAGGCTACAGGGAAAAAGAAATTGAATGGCATCCTCACATTCTCAATTGAGTATTCCTTTCCTGCAATTTCAGCAATTTTGGCTATATTCTCAATGTGATCCTGGAGCTTCATCTCCAGGCAGCGGGCAAATGTCAAGTTGGCTTTGGGCTTCACGTTGATTTTTATCTCCTCTGAAAGCATGTCCCAGTGGCGATTGCGCATGCCAGGATTGCGCAGCCCTTGAATCAGTGGTATGTAAGGCCTGAATTCCTCAATTTTGCCACGGATTTCCACAGCCACATCCTGGCATGCTTTTCATAAGACAGAAAAAATAACCATCAAAAGACACCAGGATAGAGTAAATCACAGCATTGTTTACAGAAAAAAGCAATCAGGAAAAGATCACTGACAAATGCAGCATTACATTAACTGAAGGAAAATCTTCAGTTTCTCCTAGCAGGCGTTATTTCTTTGTATATCTGATTAAAGATTATTTTTCCAATAGATGTTTTCTTTTAAGTTATAATTGTGAGAAAGGCAGTGCTGGGGCAATATTTTAAAATTGTTTTGAATAGTCTGCTGCATAGCCTCTGGTTGCTCTTGCAGTAGAAAAGTAATAAGCTAGCAGTGCTTTCATGAGACAAGATTCTTTCAGTACAGGAAATAATTTTTTTTTACTTCGTTATACAATTGTATTTTTAATCCTCCTGTTTACATATATATTCCTTCATGTTATTTTTTGGCTAAACCGATTCCCTGCATTTCAAATAGAATACATTGCTTAAAACAGAACACAAGTTAAAAGGCAACCACCCCCCTCACAATCCTCCAGTGCAGAATATATTACAATTGAAACATAAAGCTACTGTCAAGATCATTTCAGAAAAAGTTTATAATTCTGATATATTTGTATAATTTCTGAAAGGGTGCAGAGGGAAGCATTTTCTAAGTATTTTTTACATCCATTATTTTTTCTGAATTTTCTGAAACTCGCTTTCCATTGAGCAGGCCCACAATGTGGTTGTATTACAACAGGTAAAAATAGACAAACAAACAGTTTCTAAAGAAGTCCAGATTTTAGTTTCATCCCTCATCAAAAAAATACATAATTGGTTCAAGGCAGAGGTGGGTTGCTAACCAGTTTACTACTGGTTTGCTCGTGCTCGCACATGAGCTCACACAAGCGCAGAAGCATTTGGGTGGGTGGGTGGAGCCTCCCACTGCCACCGCTACTGGTTTGGCTGGCAGCAACCCACCTCTGGTTCAAGGCCTAGAACTTACCTGGAATATCCTTGAAATGTTTTACGCATTTATGCATTGTTTTAAAGGACTCGTTGACATTCTTCTCCAACTGCTCTGCATCAATGGCAGATAGAGGATCATTCATCCAGCTGTCTGCCCAACGAAGCCAGTCTGATGCTGTGCTCCAAAGATCATAGAAGGGCTGAAAGTCTTTAACCATCCTGGACAACTTATCATACTGAGGGAAGCAAAAACAAGAAAGAAAGAATTTTGTTTGTTGAAAGTATCTTCTAAACCAGGGGTGTCAAACTAGATTTCATTGAGGGCTGCATCAGGGTTGTGTTTGACCTGGGTGGGCAGGGTATGTGTGGCCAGGGGGGGGGCATGTGGCCCTCCCAAGCTCTGTTTTCACTGGCAGAGCGCTGCAGGGGGATGTCACAGCTGAAAGCTACCCTGGGAGGCCTGTGTGTGGCCCTCCCGAGCTCTGTTTTCACTAGCAGAGGCACCATTGGCCGGTCCTTCACTGTTTCCAGGGCAGGCCCATGGACCAGATCTAAGCACCCTGTAGGGTGGATTCGGCCCACAGACTTTGAGTTCGACACCCCTGTTCGAAACAAAGTCAACAGGCAGTCATGCTGTGTATTTATTTGCTCCTCCTATGCTAGTATAAATAAAGATGGAAGGAGCCCTAAAGCCATTTTGACAGTTCTTTTTTAAAAAAAATATCTTGAGAGGAACTCTACTCTCAACAAAGCAGATGATCACAAGTCTCTTATGGGCTGGCATTAATATTTTACCCTCTTTAGAATCAGTATACGATGGAACACCAAACTAATTACTTTTGACCATNTCCCATCCGGTCACATGGGCGGCAAGCCACTCCCACAAAGGAGGCCACACCCACAGAGTAGGTTCGAACAATTTTTGAAACCCACCACTGGTTGGGGGTCACCACAACATGAGGAACTGTATTAAAGGGTTGCGGCATTGGGAAAGTTGAGAACTACTGGTTTAATGAGAATGAGAGAATGAGAATCAGAGAAACCTGCATTCAGGGATTTGTACCTGAAGGCCATCTAAACGTTCCAAGAAATTGTTTTGATCCATCAGCTGAATTTTATGGAATCTTTCCTCATCTTCAACATGCTGTTGTCTTATTAATTCAATTTGTGTAGTGATCTTCAGAGGCCAATTACTTGCAGCCCACCTGAAAGCACAAATGAATGTCTCTTGGGGTTTTATAAGAAAGTGCTAATACTTCTTACAGCTAAATACAGGCAGTATCTGGGAATGAAAATTAAAAAAATAATCCCACAAACTCCTTAATATCACACTTCCATCATGCATGCAAACCATGCTATAATTCAAGAAAAGAAGCTCCAGTGAAACAAAAGACCAAATAGCTACCTTAGTTCTCAGCCTATAAAAATAGGAAATATTATAATGACCCATTTCATGATAAGATATTTTTGAGCCTGATCACTGAAATAATAGTAGATAAATTATGTTGCAAATCAAACATGTTATTCAAATTCTTAACAAGTTAAAAATAACATCAAATTATGTTCAGGGTATTTCAACTCACATTATATGTAATATTTATATGTTTTCTTATTGACTTTAAATGCTATGGAAAAGAGAATACACTTTACAGGCTGGGACCAAATTTTCTACTTTCTGCATCTAGTTTGTAGCATATATTTGCATTGAAATGTTGGCAAGGACAGACATTCTCGAGCAATTCATAGGTTCTTGTGAATGCTCTACATCTATCTACACAGAAATATACAGTCTAACAATCTCACACTTTACAGTCACTAAATTCATTGGTCTTTCATGAGATGCAACAGAAAAAAGACCTTTATTTTTTTTATTTTTTTAAAAGGTCAGAAACTACAAGATTGCCTAAATTCAAGGCTGCAGGCTCAGACCATCACAGCTTCTGCATTTGAATAAGGTAGTGCAGCAGGTATCTTTTCTGGCTGCCTGAAGAGATTTGATGAAGCCCTCTGATGTGTAAATAAAGCCCTAAGGCACAAAATATAATAACCCAGGCCAAAGGTCTTGCTCTGACTGCAGGGGAAATGACTTATGCTTACTTGTCATTGAAGTCATCTTGAGTCAAATTGTAAAGAAATTCCTCCATGACTTCATATTCTTCCATAACACTACTTATCAATTCCTACAGGATGATACATAGAGAGAGAGAAAAACAGAGGCAGATATTATTTCCATGATCAACATTTCATTCCATTGCAGAACAAAATTTAATATGGTGAGATTCAGATACAAGGATGAAGAAAGAAGAAATAATTCTATTGCTTGATTGTTAGGCTATAGTAACACAAGGAACATAGCAGGATCTAAAAACCTCTGAAGTATTAATTTAGGATACTTTAGGACAGTGTTTTTCAACCTTTTTTGTGCAAAGGCACACTTTTTTCATGAAAAACAATCACGAGGCATACCACCATTAGAAAATGTTATTTTTTTTTTAACTCTGTGCCTATATTCAATATAGGCGGGTGTTTTTCCCACGGCACACCTTACACTAT